CCCCAAAACCCCAAAACCCCAAAACCCCGAAAGTGATTAATCAAATGACACAGAGTTAATTAAATAACACAAATATTTATAAGAAGTTAATACAATATAATCTGAGAGTATGATAGCTGCTCTTTTCAATGTTTATAGTTATCTTCGTTCTCTTAGTTAAATGATAAATTTACTTAAGAGTCCTTCTAAATGGGTTTCTATACTTTCTAGCTAAATTAATTCATGGTTGCTGCATTCTACTGCTTTTATTACTGTTATAGCTAGTTTTACTGTCTATTCATAATATTGTTACCAGAGACAGCTGCCTGCATTGATGGAGTATTCTGCAGTAATTAATGCTTTTATTTTGAAATTTCAGGAAATTTAATTGCTCCATTCTGATCATCAGCGTTTTTAATTGAAGGTGCAATTATGCTTTGAGAGCTTCGACCCCCATATGCCAAAGAGAAGCTTGAGTTTTAATATCTGCAAAGTTCATCTTCCTCTTCGATGTTTGTAAGTCTATGCTAATTACCAGTGTAATAATTCTTAAGTTAACTTTCTAACTAGCTATATCTCACTGCTGAGGCTCTAAGATTATTACTTCGATCAACAGCCATAGCACTTGACCTTATATTGAGCACTCCAGCGTTTGAGAGGTCTTTCCCAGTGGATCCAAAGTCCATTGACTCTTAGAACTAGTTTCCTGAATCAGACAAAACGAAGGGGTTAATTAAATCCTCTTATTTCTACTTCTAAGCAACAAAGATATTATTAGAGCTCTGCTAGTAAAGTGTCTCTGTAAATATCAGTGGAGTGACATCATCTGAGTGGTCAATGCTGATGTCAGCATTCTCATCTTTTTCATTTTAATCAGGAGACTAGAATTCATTTATGTAGTCATCATCAACGTCATCTTCATAAAATATTTCTAGCCTCTTAAGCAAAGGCTTTACAGGAGTTCCCTATCCTTCCTTAAGTTGCTACGTAGGCATAATTTGCACATTCTCTTGCAGCATTTTCACATTAAGTGCAAAATCATTTTGCTGCTATAAAATTGAAGCCAGTATTTGAGCTTATTAATGCTTGTTTTCTTTGACTTCTTCTAAGCTATCATTCATTATGTTAGAATTAGCGAAGGAAGGGGATTCTTCTAGCTTAATTTATTTGTTTGTGTTTCCAGTTCCCCTGCTTTCTTTCTTTTAGAGATCTTGTAAAAGCTCGTAGCTACTCTTTACTGGATCTTTTCCATTGGCGTGGTAAGTACCTGGGACTTATTACCCTCTCTTTGGTGTAGATACTCATTGCTACTTCTTTAAATCTACAAGAGGAATATCTGGTTCATCATCAAATCCTGGATCGAAACTTTGAATTGGAGACATCTCATCATTTACTGGGTTGAGTAGCCTATCTTCGTCTTAGTCAAGTATTTGATTATTTTAGTTGAGCTAAACTTTCAATTGATTTCTGTTTTTAAGAATGGGCTTAACATTCTTTTCAGTTTATGATTTGGCTTGCTTCTATAAATTTAGGTTCATTTTTGGGGTTGATTGGTTGGTTTAGTTCAGAGAGTTATTTTTTGCTATTTGTAATTAGGAATTTCTATTGTTTGGAGTATTTATTGAATTGTACTTAGACTGTGTTTAAGTCATATTCCAATCCCCAGATTGCTGTTTATTTAAAGTTAATGCTGTAGACTTCATTTAGTTTTAAGAGCTTAGTAAAGCCTAATTTGATGATGAATTGGCAAGCTTTCTGTTTTAGTTGTTATTCTTTTTAATTTTTTACAAAGTGCCAGAATCTAAAGTAGATCCACTTTTGTAGAATCCCTCTCTAGTGAGTTTATCTCCATCCTCTTCTTGCTCATCTCTTTCCTCAAGCACATCTAAATCTACTGTTTTTAGGGAGCCGAGTTACGGATTTGGATTCAAATTAGACTATTTGATGATGTTCTGGGTATTGATGCTTGGCAGCTTAATGCTTGATAAATTTTAAGGAGATTCCTAGGGTCGTGAATTCTAAAATTTTTAGGTAGTTTTGTACTTTCTGGACCTAGGGTCATTCAAAGTGTCGTTCAAGCTATATGATACGCTATAGTTGCTGTTATTATTCAGGTTGCTGCTGCTATATGCTGCGTTATGATGACTTGAGGGTGTTTATTAATTACTACTGAAAGGATTTTGATTCCTGGTTGAGTTCTATTACTATACATTGACAATTTAACTTGCAGAACTTAATCTAGACTGAAACTCCATAGAAAGCGATGAGGGGTAATTCGTGTTATGATTTAGAAGGTCTAGAGGCTGTGTTTACATTTCATGATCAGCCTAGAGATCCTTATTGAAGTTTACTTGTCTTCTTGATAGCAAAACTGGTTAGCTGTTTGCCCTCGATAGATCGTGACCTTGGGAGTCTGTGTTTGCTCTGTGAAGTTTTAGCTTTCTCACTCTAAAAGTAGATTCTGACTTCTTTCTCTCAGTGTGAACTTCGAGACCACTTAATTAGAACTCTCTATTCATCAACTGAGAATTGATTTCTCGTTCACCTAAATGATTCGGCTCTCGAGTAGTGGCCACAGACTGCACTCCATCTGGAATTCTTCTTGTTGATAAATCGACTTATGATAAATTTTCAAGTAACTTATTTTTTTCATTTAGCTCTCGCCTTAGTCTTTGAATTTCTTCATTGGCATTTTTCAGATTACGTTCAAAGTTCCTTTTCGAAATACTCTGACTTTGATTTGGCAGGATCGATTCTAGCTTCACAGTTTTGTTTGAGAATTTATGATTCAGTTTCTAAATGTTGCCAACCATCTAGGAGGTCTAATCCTTACTAATCACAATTTAAATACCTTTCTTATTTACTTTAGGCAAATTGATTCTATATTGTGTATCTGACTTTTTTAAGTGTCTATTTTCACTAGAATCCTGGATGTTAATAAAATTCTATTCATCCTCATCTGCTATAGGAACATTAGCCTCTATTGTATCTATCTCGTCAAATGAATCAATTGATGCTTTCTTTTTATGAAAATTTGATCCATATTTATTAGTTCCTCCATTATATAGATGTGAATTAACCTGCTTTGATTCATTCGATTTGAAATTAGATCTGCTATTTTATTTGGCTTAGAGTTCATCAGCATTTGTATATTATGACAACTGAGATTGATTTTCAGAAGATGCTTAAAACATTGCCAGATTCTTATTGATTGAATGTTTTCCTGTATTTTTACCCTAGCGAGTCTATGAATTGTGTTGAACCGTGTTTTCAATCGACTAGTTTCTAAGTAAATTTCTTTGAGAGCTAGACGTGTTAGACAATGGAGTCTATGCCTGTAATTGATGTAATTGATTTTTGCTTTGTGGTAAGTTCGATCTGAATGAGTACTTTTCCGGATCCGGAAAACCTGCATTCCTATCTATTTTGAAATGATGAACTTTTTATTATTAATTCATTACAGATTATAAGTATAAGTTTATAATAAAATATTAGAGAGATAAAATGGACAAGCTTGGATTCCTCAAGTCGTCAAAGACAAGTTTCAGGGACTGGAACAGATTGAGTCGCAGCTACAGACAACCACAGTTCCAGGATAAGCTTTTGCAAAATGGACAGAAGGCTCCATTCAAGCACTCCTGGGCTATGCTCTCCCATATGCACGATCTCAGAGTGTGGACTCTCGCATACGCCCCACAAAGAATTAACAATCTCCAAAGACTCCAAGAAATTCATTTGCTTAATTAGGAAATGTGGTACATGGTCACCAGTGCTATGTGGAAGAGAATTATCGTTCTTGCCGTCGCCTGGATCCTTGTTACAAGAATTTTCAAGAAGAAGTATATGAATCAAGGAATGTTCGATACGTAAGATCTACTAGAAGTATTAACATTTTTATAGTCACGATACAAGTTTAAGAGATACCACTGCACACATGTGAGTTTGCGAAAAATATATAGCCTTTGTTTCAACCACCTATCTTATACTAATAAATCTAAACAATTGTTTCTATCAGAGACAAGGGTTTTCAAGATTATTGTATAATTTAAGGTTTATTTAAATCAAAAGTATTCTGCAAATTTATCAAATTTCATGAATTTATAAGCTTAACGGGGTTTTGGGGTTTTGGGGTTTTGGGGTTTTGGGGTTTTGGGG